TACTATCTTCCGCACAAGACCTCTAACATTTCAAAACTGGCCCTTAGGTTATAAATGCGGCAAGATAACATAAATCATTGATTTCTTTAATTTTATCACTAATTAAAATAATATAAATATAATTTTTTTTTTGGTCGAAAAATATAAATCTAAATTAGTTTTATCGTTATGTAATATATACACACTTCATCGTGCCAAATCCAAAGATCTTAACAGCTTAATATCATATACAATCATTCACTCTAATAATGCTATGGAGGATAACATAAATCATTGATTTTTTTTAATTTTATCACTAATTAAAATAATATAAATCTAAATTAGTTTTATGGTTATGTAATATATATATATATACACACACACACGCTTCGTCGTGCCAATTACTCGTACCACGTAGACTTGGTAGTTTTTAAGGTCAACCCATATACAATCATTCACTCCAATAATGCTATGGAGGTATCAATCATTAATGTTTCCTTCAACACTATCCGCTTCAATTCTGGTATGTCTCATCAAGTTTGCTGGTACTATTAAATTTGGTTTAGAATTTATGGGAAGTAAAAAAAAAAACTATGTGAATAATATTATTTTTATTAAAAAAAAATCTAAAAATGATGTATTTCGGGACACGAACATTATATCGAAGCATAAAATCTGGGGAAAATCTAGATTTTAGTTGTCTATGTCTAGAACCTGTAGCCGCATGACAATCATTTTGCTATATAAAATTAAGGGGTTTTTTTTTTGTTTTTTTTTGTCAAAATAATATATGAGATTGACATAATTTCTCATTTTGGTTTATGACAATAAAAATCGATATAAGTGATTCTGAGTTTGTCCATAATAAATTATTTTGGACATTTCGTAAAAAAATTATCAACATCCTTGTTAAATTGTCAACGACCACGTGACTATTTCTATGGGTATTTTTATCAAACTAACTTCTCCACTTGATGAGAATATTGACATATTTTACACGAAATAATTAAAATGATTTATAGTGGACAAACTCAAATTCTACCGATTTTCAATGTTAGAGACCGAATTGACAGTAATGCATATCTCAATTATCATTTTACCTAAAAGCCTAAACCAATGTCTCGGCCCGTAGAAGAAATATTGTCGGTTGAGGGACTCCGGAATATAAATACATAAACAATGGATTTGAGATCCGGATGGTAAACTTGAATATGGAGGTCAAATAGTAAAATATGAAAACAATAACGTCAGCTTGTGAATTCCTAAGAATACGACGTCCCACAGTGCCAGGAGCCTAAATATCTTTCATCATTTATTCAATCAGTGAAATATGTCTTCCGTTGGTAAGGTTGAGACTGATGTTGAAATCAAGGCTTGTGCTGTCCACGAGTACTGAACCCGCAGGCCACACCATCCAAGCACTATCAGCTCTGATAAAATCAAGACTTGTGACATGAAGGTGACCGGGGAAGTGTTGGTTCTGTCATCAACTGGAATTATATCCATGGTAATTCATTAGTGGAGCTTGATCTTAATTCATGTCCATGAAGTCAAGATTGTGTTTTAATTAGACGATATCTAAGAAAGTAACACATGTTGAGCTAAAAATAATCAAGAGGTGAAAGAACAAAATTACCCTTAAGGTACATCGGGATTTCTACGCGCGAGTAGTGGGCAATCATCCATCAATCAAATCAAAAAAGTGCCCAAAATAGGTATTTATTTATAACTTATTTCATTCATCCTCATTAAATCTTCTCTGTAAGTATCTCCAAATCATTTCTTTTTTATTATATTAATTAACTAATTAATTGATTTATTATCTAATTAATTTGCTAATTAATCACAAATCATGAACTTCACCCACAAAGCCATCCAAGTGGCCGGTCCATCTCCACCCAAAGGGGCCGGCCACACCCCCGTATAAACACTCTCATTCTCTCCAAAACTAAATTTCAATTCTCTTGCTAAATTATCTAAATTTTCTAAACATTTTTCCTTCAAAATTCTAACTTTGGCATCGGAGGTTCTTTGGCCAAAGCCCCCCATTCATCGTGGGTGCGTGAGGCTCTTGGTCTTAACCTAAGGTGTTATTTGTTTTGTAGGTGTAATTTTGTCTAAGAGTAAGGAGGAAGAAATTTGCATCCACAAACACACAATCATTAGGAAAATGCTACGAAAACCACATTTTAGAATAATCATATTTATAAACCACTTGATTGTATTTCTTTCTTAGTGATTTAAATAAAAAATTTAATCATCAACCGTCACATCATGTAATCTACAAAATATGATCTCTATAGCATATTACTCTATAAATTATTGCAAACGTATGTAGTGCACTTCAATTTTAATTTGTCTTATCTAAACAAAGAAACAAGTATTGGATGACAATTTTAATATTAAATGGAATTGATAATACAACCCTTAAATAAAGGAAAATTAACGAAAAGTTCAAAAAAACTTCCCTTTTAATGAAAACCCTCTTTTTAAAGGTATAATGAATGGTACCAGGAAAAGTTATAAATGTGGTTTTTCGTTAAAAGTACCGGGAGTGTTTTGTTAAACCTCTAATAAACCATTATCCAGCAAATCTTTGAAAATTATAGAGCAAACCACCATCAGGATATGATAATTAATTAGCTAAGGCATGCACGATAATGGAAAGTCTCTGCAAGTGGTTTTTACTTCTCTGACATGCTATTATCTTTTGGGCGAGTCGGATTAGCATTTTCCTTGGTTTAATACCTAAATTAGAACAGAACCTCTCCATAGATGTTATTATGTGAAATTTAATTAATATTATAATTGTTAACAGATGAAAATGAAGAACTCAGAGAAAGATTAAATGAATGAGAAAGCAGAAAAGAAAGGAATTGATGAGAGAGATACTATTTGAGTGTATTACTTTTGAATGAATTACATAGATACTACTATAAATTTATATAGCTCTCATGAGCTTTCTTGTGTCTTAAACTGAAGTTAACTGACTTAGCAAACTCTAACAGCTATTAACAGCATTTCTAACAGACAATCTTCCGCTGATATGGTTTCTATCTTCAACAGTAATGAGTAGTGACTTGTGGTTAGATCAACAACAACAATTAATGATCACAGCCTGTTACGTACCGAATTGTGTTTAATACTTGGGCCATAGGAGACAGAGCCATTACTCTCCCACTCTAGTTTCATTCACCCTTGAATTCAGATAGGCCGCTGGACATGGGTTGAATATCACAAGGCTGTCTATGGCAGGACCCTGTATTTAATTTTCTGTCCCCAGTAATTTCATATACGAGTACATATACCCATATCAGGGAGCAAAGATTTTTAATTGTGAACAATACGGTATGGTTCACTTCATTCATTGGAGGTTAAAATCTTTAGTAGAGCGTTATCTTACTCCAAATGCAGAAGTTCCTCTTTGTTTGTAGAAGCTTTTATACAAATTATGTGGTGAGGCTGCCTTATTGAAGATTTATCTTTTGTTATATGAACTTCAATGCGATTTGGAGATTTAGCTCGCCCGTCATGATTGTTGCCTCCCACTGAAATTATTTAATTTGCTCAATTATATGAGATCAACATGTCCCCGTATCTGTCAGGGAACAAAGGTTTTTACTTTGTGAACAATACATTCACCTCATGTGTTGGAGGTTAAAATCTTTAGTAGAGCAGTATCTTACTCCATATGCATAAGTTCTCCTTGTTGCTTGTAGAAGCTTTTTTACAAATTATGCGGTCGCAATTGCCATATTGAAGATTTATATTTTGTTATAGGAATTTCAACGGAATTTGGAGAGTTAGCTCGTCCATCTCCATCTTTGAATTATTGAATTTGCTGAATTATACTATCTTTATCTTCAATTATATATATATATATATATATATATACACACATGGCCGTCTCTGAGGTTTTGGGGGCCCTGTGTAAAATTTATAAATTAAAAGCGCCCCTCCTTAAGATAAGTCTTAAAAAATGTAGGACAATGTATTGATGCTAGAAAATAATCACTTAAATCAAAACAAAGTTTAGCACTCACTGATTGCAAGTTTTTAAATGTCATTAATAATAAGTAAAAAGAGCTACAAACATAACATTCACTAAATAATCAAAAGCAGTTCAATCGTAAACAACCAAAGAAGAAAACGAACTTCAAAAACTCTGACTTTAAAGTTTCACTTGAATATGTAACATAATTATATAATAATATTGAAAAAATACCGTCTTTTATGGTGTATTATTGGCACTCAAAATATCTTATTGTACTCTAAATTTTTGTATTTAGAAAGAAAAAAATTAATCTTATAAGGAGTGTAAGATGAGATTTTAACTTGCTAACAAAATCAATTATTGAATATAGAACATTATTTCATAACAAAAGCAATTTTAAATATAGAATATTATTACATATAAATATTAGGTGACAAAACTTTTGGGGGCCTCTTCAAATTTGGGGCCCTGGGCGACTGCACATTTCGCACCCCCTCAATGCCCTATGTGTGTGTATATATATTATAGGGGTGTGCTATCCACACACTATTTTTCACTTCTCACACACTATTTGTTAATCTTAATCATTTTATATTCTTCAATTTATTCGATTTGAAGACCGAAAATTAATTAAAAGACATGCGTACATACCCCGTATTATATATGATATGTTATAGTAGACATGTCCAATCAATCCTTTTATTACCTGCTATATTTTAAATTAATAACATAGTCTGAGTGGAGGCAATTATTTCAGCTCACTTATTAAACATGTGTCTTATTTGTTGCTATAATGCAGTCACCTTCTCCGTCTATATAAGCGGCCCGGCTTTTCTGTCTTTTCAATTTTCATACATTCTCATCTTCTTCTATTTTGTGTGATTACAGTTAAATCACGTCAATATTTTATATTAATTTTTTTATAAAGATAATAAGACAAAAAATAATAGTGATATAAAATGTTGACGTGGCTTAACTGTGAGGGCGGAGAAACCAGGTCTCTATATAAGTGCAAGGTTCCAATCAGTTTTATTCAAATAAGTACTCAATATATAGGCTAAATAACTCTACACTTCCTCCTATAATATTTGGAAAATACCCTTTTTTTGGTGGAAATGTCTAGCGATTGTGGTAAGGTGGAGGCCGATGTTGAAATCAAGGCTTCTGCTGCCAAGTTCCATGAAATGTTCACACACAAACCACACCACATCTCCAATGCCAGCAATAGAAACATTCAGGGCTGTGACCTACATGAAGGTGATTGGGGAACCGTCGGATCTGTAGTCTACTGGAATTATTTCCATGGTAAAACCCTAAATACCTTGCTTCAATTAATATCGACTATAGTACTCTTTTATATTATGTACCATCCTAAAATACACAAGCTACATTTTATACTAAATTTATCTAATTTATGAGGAGTAGATTTAAACTTAAATTGTTCTAGCCAACTTAACTAAGCTCAAGCTTGTGATATTATATTAATTATGTGAGATTTTCATGTATGCAGATGGAAAAGCCAAAGTTGCTAAGGAGTTGGTTGAAGCCATAGACGCTGAAAATAATCTGATCACTTTCAAAGTGATTGAAGGAGATCTTTTGGAGCATTACAAGAGCTTCAAGGCCACCATCCACGCAACTCCGAAAGGCGAGGGATGCAACGTGCACTGGACTATGGAGTATGAGAAGCACCATGACGATATTGAAGATCCACATACATTGCTCCAGTGTGTAGTTGAGGTCTCCAAAGATATTGATGCTCACCTTACAAGCACCGATGCAAAATAAACACAGAAGGCTTAAGGCTTAATTATATCTGTGATTAATCTGTGTGCTGCAATCACGATCTATCTGCATGTGTGTGATTAATAAAAACATTTGATATGACTACTGTTTCGTTCATATCAAATCATGTTTGTGTGTTTATATATATAAGATGTGTCTGGGTTAGGGCTACCTTATCGAACTTTTATTTATTGGTGTATGTCCTTTATTTCATGTGATTATGTTATCTTTTGCAAAATTTGTGGCTTTTTTATGTTGCTAAAATGAAAAAATTATATAGTTGATCAACCTCTTTATCTTTTCTTTCAATTGTTTGATATAGTGAGGCGCGGACTCAGCCCCAAATCTGGGGTAGGGATGAGCCATTTAAGTGGGAGGATGGTAGTTTAAGAGTAGGTTAAAGGTAGGACATTTTGTAGGTTGGGATGGGCTGGAGCACATCCTAGCCACCCCTCGGTTTGGTGTGCAAAATATATTGAAAAGTAGAGTTTTTGATGCAATATTTACATCAAAAAATAGAGTTATGTTGTTTTTTATGGCCAGTCACGTTGGTGATACTTTGGTTTGGAATTTCTCACAATTTTGCTCGCATTTCCAAATCGAAAGAAACTCTAAACATAAAAAGATAGGTACGTCTGTAAAACAATTTTTGGAAGATGAAATGAAGCCAATGTAGAGACAAAGAGCCTACTCATCATCTCTTTCACCATCCTCTTCAGATTTGTAATCAGGGCATCACTTCATCAGTGATACGATCGTCGGCGAGGCATCGGCTGGTCCTTAGCGATGCCCTGTGGTTTGCTAAGGACATGGCGTTGAGATTTGGCGGTGGGTGAGGTGGATCGAGGGACGGAGAGAGCAGATGGCGAGAGAGGATTGAGCAACCCAACTAAATAATATCATAGTTTTGACAAGTATAACTAAGTGGGTGTGAACTGTATAAAATTATGCAGTCACAACTGCCATATTGAAGATCTATATTTTGTTATAGGAATTTCAACTATATTTGAAGAGTTAAGGGGTGTGCTAAATTATATTATCTTATCTGTATCTTCAAATATATATAAAATAGGAATGCGGAGAAAGTGAAAATAGATGTGTATATACCCCATATTATATATGATATGTTATATAAGACATATCCAATCAATCATTTCCTTAACTGCTATAGACATGTCCAATCAATCCTTTTATTACCTGTTATATTTTAAATTAATAACATAATCTGAGCAGAGCCAATTATTTCAGCTCACTTATTAAAGACCTGGATTGTCGGCCATTTTCTTTCCATATCTTTTTCATTCTGTTTTATTTCTATGGTTACGGTTAAGCTATTTTAATATTTTATATATTCATTATTTTTTATTTTATTATTTTTATAAAAATATATCAATATAAAATTTTGACGTGATTTAACTGTGATCACAGAATATAAAAGGAAATGGGAAGGTTATGAGATGAGAAGGACATACAATCTAGGTCCGTAAGAAAAGGATTGATTGGACATGTCTAATATAACATATGATATATAATATGGGGTATATACACATTCATTTTCACTTTCCGTACATTCTTGTTTTTTATATATATTTGAAGATAAAGATAAGATAATATAATTTAGCAAAAAGAATTGTTATTAGTATTTCAAAAATTTCATTTATACTATTCATAAATGTATTTTTCTTTCTACTTATATAAAATTTGAAATGCAAAATGAGATTTTTTTAAGTGTTAATAATAATTTTTTTTTTAGCAAATTCAATAATTCAAAGATGACGATGGACGAGCTAACTCTCCAAATACCGTTGAAATTCCTATAACAAAGTATAAATCTTCAATATGACAGATGTGACCGCATAATTTGTAGAAGAGCAACAAGGAGAACTTGTGCACTTGGAGTACGACACTGCTCTACAAAAATTTTAACCTCCGATACATGAGGTGAACATACCGCTTTGGTCACAAAGTAAAATTTTTTGTTCCCTGACAGACACAGGTAAATGTTCATCTGATATGAAAAGACGAGGTTCTGCCAAGGACATGCTGGTGATGTCGACCCCATGTCCAGCGGCCTATCTGAATCCAAGGGTGAATGAAACTAGAGCTGTGATGATTGTTGTTAATCTAACCACAAGTCACTACTCATTACAATATAAATTACATTTCACATAATAACATCTATACTTTTCCCAAAAAATAAAAAACATCTATACAGAGGATCCGTGCTAATTTCGCCATTAAACTCAGGAAAATGCTAATCCGACTCGTCCAATAAGTCATAGCATATCAAAAGGGTAAACTGCTTGCAGAGTCTTTCCATTATCCTGCGATACCTTGGCTAATTAATTAGCATATGCTGATGGTGGTTTGCTCCATAGTTTTTAAAAGATTTGCTGGATAATGGTTTATTTTAAGGAAAATTAATAAAAATAATTTGAAAACTTTGAGTTTTAACAATAAGGACAAAATAAAGCGCAAAATGAATAGTACCAGAATTGACTTTTTAGTGTAAAAATGTGATTTTTCGTTAAAATGAATAGTATCGGAAACTTTTCGTTAAAGTAGGAAAACTATTAAAAATAACTCGAAAACTTTGAGTTTTAACGATAAGGACAAAATAAAGAGTAAAGTGAATAGTACTAGGGTTGATTTTTTAGTGTAAAAATATAATTTTTCGTTAAAATAAACAGTACCGATAATTTTTTGTTAAAGTTTCCTTTATTTTATTGGATAATCAATCCCATTTAAAAGACTTGCTTCTTTTTTTTGATAAACAAATAAGTATAAAAGAAATGAAACTTTAATGAAAAGTGCTTCTCAAAACTTTTAATTAACCAAAAATCATTAATAAACTTTATTTAATAAAAATAGCTTAAACTTTAATAAAAAATAATTAACTTTTAATGAAAATGGCAAAAATTTTACATAATAATAATAAATAAAAAAAGGGCAAACACATTAACCACGCATTATATCACACACGTTCACATACTCTCTCTCGGTCAACCATTCAACATCTTTCTCTCTCTCTCCCTCTTTCACATATTTCCATTAATTTTTCTCTTTCATTTCACTTCACTCATCCACATCAACTTTTTTTCTTTTTTTCTTTTTTCACCTCTCCCCACTCTTATGTCTCCTTTCATCTCACTCTATAAACAATTTTTTTATTTTATTTTATTATTTGTTTATTTGACTATTCTTTCAATTTTTTTAGAACAAACTAAGTAATAATATTACAAAATCAAAATTAAAGAAAATTTTCATTATTCAGTTTTATAAAAACTAATACTGTCACCATTTATTAAACAGAACAGTGATTACTTCTTAAACTGAACATTGACTACTTCTTAAACCGAACATTATTTCTTAAACTGTACATTAACTACTTCTTGAACGGAACACTGACTATTTCTTAAACGGAACACTAATACTATCACTACTTCTTAAACTAAACACTGATTATTTCTTAAACCTTGTAAACTAAACACTAATTATTTCTCAAACCTAACACTAGTACTATCATTCCCACCACATCCTGTGCTCGACTCCGGCGTAGCACGATATTGTCTGCTTTGGGCCCCGACCACGCCCTCACGGTTTTATTTCTGAGAACTTACAAGAGAACTTCCCAGTGGGCCACCCATCCTGGGATTGCTTTCGCTCGAAATCGCTTAACTTCGAAGTTCCAATGGAACCCGAAGCCAGTGAACTCCCAAAAAGCCTCGTGCTAGATAGAGATGAGAATATACATATAAAACTTAGAGGATTCACTACCCTACACGATGTGAGATGTCATAATCACTATTCCGTAAACTAAATAGACTATTTACTAAACCAAGTAATAGTACTATCACTATTTTGTAAGCTAAGCACTGACTATTTCTTAAACCAAACACTAGTATTATCACTATTTTGTAAACTAGTACTGTCACTATTTCGTAAGCTAAACACTGACTATTTCTTAAACCAAAAACTAACTATTTCGTAAACTAAACACTGATTATTTCTTAAAATAAAAAACTAGCACTATCACTGTTTTTAAAATTGAATACTAAAATGTTCAAAATTTGAAGCTCTCTTCTCATTATCATATGAATCACTGAAAATAATATTTATATTCTTATAGAGTTAGAATAATGATTTTCACATTCCTATTTGTTCCTTAACATTATTCAAACAATTTATTTGACTTCCCTTTAATTTATTCAATACAAAATTAACAACAAAAGCATAAATGAAATATCAGAAAAGCTGATGTGCTTTCATTGAGGAAAGTAATCTAATATTTTTTTATTTTTAAGTTTTAGTTGGTTAGGGTTAAAATTAATAAAGAATTCCATAATTTGATCATGGGGTGATGATGAGATGCTACCTCACGTGTAGGAGAAAAACTTGTGTGGGGCTTTACTTGTCACTGGATTTTATTGAGTGACACTACAATTCAATCAAAACTCGCAACTGACAAGTCTTAAATATTATCTTTTATTATTTTTCTTTAATATTGAAAACTTTCATAATTATATTTCCTATTAATTGATATAAGATTAATTTAAGATTTCAATTTTCCTCTGATCTCCTTTGTCTTCCCTTTTTCTTCTCAAATTTTATCTCTGCCAGTGCCGGCTTCTTCCCCACTCTGTGCATTTCCTTCCTTCATAAGAATAATGGGAAAAAAAATTAAACCATCTTCTCCATCTATAATGAAATAAAACTGTGATATATATATATATATATATATATATATATTCTAACACAGGCTTGATGTTTAACAAAATTTGTTTGTTCCTTTTTTTTCATTTTATTTTTCCTCTTCTCATTCTCGCTTATTTTTCTTCCCCAGTTTTCTCTGCCGTGTGCAGTCTCCTTCCCCCTCTTTATTTCCTTTCTTCATAAGAATATGGGGCAAAAACAAAGTCATCTTCTCCAAACCTATACTTCTTTTTTTTCGTTTTTTTTCCTTTTCTTTTTTTTCTTTTTTATTTTTATTTTACAAAAGCTGTTTATTAATTTTTTTTTTCAATTATAAGCACAATTTCATTGCCCAACAGCTCATCCTGTTTTATATATCTCTGAGTTGTAATTTGCGTGTTTATGTTTTTCCTATAAAGGATTAGAATATTTTGTAGGAAACTCCAAATACAATCTTGCAGACTCACTCCATACAATCGAGTTGATCTTTTCACAATTTATTGGTTATCCTTCACTTTATTTTGGTTGAAGTACAACTATTTTGGTTGATTATCCATCTTTAACATGATGGTAGAAGTGGGAGAGAGAGAAGAAACTGAAGACTTCTACGGCAAAACATAAAAGTACCAAAAGGGAAAATTTGGGAAGAAAAAGAGGGAGGGGGAGAAGAAAAATATACATCAAATTAATCTCATGATGTATATTAATTAGTAGGAAAAATAATTATGAGAATTTTAAATATAAAAGAATGATAAAAGATAATATTTAAGACTTACCATGTGGCAAGTTTTAATTGGATTGTAGTGTCACTCAGCAAAATCCAGTGGCAAACAAAGCCCCACACAAGTTTTTCTCCACGTGTAGGGCTAAGTGGTAGTCAAGTATTGATGTCAGCAATATATTTTTTTATCTCAAATTTCTCTCTCTCTAAAATTTTTGGATTTGTTGATGTTAGTTTGAATGGATTTGGTTGACATTCTCCTCTCTCCTCTCTCTCTCTCTCTCTCTCTCTCTCTCTCTTCCTGAACATTTTCCTTCTTGATGAAATATTTAAAAAGTAATTTGTGTGCTGCTTTTGCAGTGTTGGTTTTCGGTTGAATTGGTAGATGCTTACTTTCGCATTGCTAACATGCACACGCGCTTTGGGTTGAATAAGTTTTTGTTTGGTTTTTTTTTTTTTTTAATCTTTTGTCCTTATCATTAAATAAAGTTATTAGGTGATTTTCTATTAAAACTCAAAATTTTAAAACTTTTTTCATTAGTTTTCTTTAAAAAAAATTAAAAAAAAAAAAAACATCTATCATTTTCTTAGACATTATCTATGTACTAAAGCTTAGCAGAAAAGCGTTGTTCATCCCGTGAGAGAGCACTGTTTATCAACAGTGAAATGGCGAAAACACCCTTGATTTCTGCTTTAGTCTCCGTGCTGTTTACACTTTGGTACAGGCAAAAGTTCATTTTGTCCTTCCTTCGCGTCTGTCATCAGCACCCTTTGATTACTAAGAAAATTAATGAAAATTTCAAAAAAACTTCTTTTTTAATGAAATTTTTTTTTTAAAGGTATAATAAATAGTACCAAAGAAAAGTATAAATATGATTTTTCGTTAAAAATAAACAATACCGGAATATTTTGTTAAACCTTCTTTGATTATTTTGTATTTTTATTTTTTTTATCATTTTACCCTTTCATTCCACGCGTCCAATTTTCCTTTTGCTTCGGTCTTGCATGCCCTCCAGCTGGATCTCTGGAATTTTCCTATGGTTTCTATCACTCATCCAATCCATCTGACTCACCATTACACCCCCACTAATTCACTCAACCCTCACTTCACTCTTCACTTCTCTCTACCCCACTCAGACCCCCCCATCTCCCAACACTGTCACTCTCTCATCCCTCTCCCATCTGTCCCCCCCTCTGCAACTCTCCTTCTCCCTCTCGGTAAAACCGAGAACCACCACCCAGACTCACCCAAAAATAACATCCTTGGAGCTTTTGTACTGTTTCCAGTTTTTTTACTGATTTCCGAGAAACGCAGTCTGCGATGCCTATTCCATCCTGATCTGAAGAAGATTTCTCAAGCAACTGTAATTTCATGGTAAGTTGGCTTAAATCAGTTTCAAAATTTGAGATTGTTTGGGATATTTTTAGGTTTTTCTGCTTCTTGAAAAAAACCATAGTTAAGAGTAAATTAATTATATTTTAATTTTCATTTAATTCAGGTAACCGTCTCAGTTTTTTGGTTTGAACGCTAGAACCAGTGATCTTAGAAAAGGGTTGGTTCTTGAATATTTTTATTTATATCCTTTTGGTTGTTTGAATGGACTTCCTGTAATCTAAATGAAGCTAAATTGAATATTTGTTTTTGTATACTGTATTTGCTTTGTTAAATTAGTTCTTTTTGGTTGAAATTTTTTATTTGGTTTTCCAGATCAAAGGGGTCAAGCGGTGGAGGAGTGGGTTAATAATTATGTGTTCTTCTTGATAATTATATGTGTTTATGCCTTCATGATATTGTGAGATATCATGGGATTGTTTGTGATCTGATTAAATACATAGTATGCTTTTCAGCATTGTTACAAGCTTCAGGTTTTTTGGAACTCATGGATAATTAGATTTACTATATTTGTTGATGCATTGAGTAACTGATTTGATATTAGTTTTCATACCCCAGTGAATATGTTATTTTCTGCATTCTCCGCCTTATTTTCATTTAAAAAAAAATTGTTTTTTTATTTATGAATTAATAATAAATAAGAAACTGAGAATAAAAATTTAGGAAAGAACAACGAGTGTAAATCTACAATCTATATTATTAATTGTATGTAAAAATTGATTAAAAATACCAAATCAATAACTCACAACCAAGAATGTGAGTAAATCTTGGTATAAGTGTTATACAAGTGTTGTTTTTAACAACTGTATGTAAGTGTATTCTACTTGAGATTATAACATGAAAAACTCCACAGAATAAGACTGCAGCAGCTGCAGCTCCACCATCATTTTTGAAAAATTAGGTAAAAATCTCTTCTCTGCAATATTTTGTTTTTTTTTTTTGTTTTTTAACAATGAACCAATGAATGCACAAAAAAGTTTTAGCATGCTCTGATTTTTGTGTCTTGATAGCACAGATTTACTAAGTCAATTACCTGCTTTGCAAAAGCTTCTTTCTTGCCTTCTTGGATTGCCAGGTACATATGCGTGCATTATAATTATGTTTTTGTAGTTCAATTAGCCTCTTTGAAATTTCTATCAAAATATTCATTTTTCCTGCGTTTTAAAGTTGAATAGTGTAGTTTTTGGAGTGAACATAATTTCATGTACAAGTAACTTGCTTTTCATTTTTCAGTTTGTGTTTTGTTTATCTCAGATGCTTCAAGTAGCACTTCTATGTTTTTTTAAGGGAGCATTTGTGTCACGCCCTGGGCTCAAATTATTTATTTTCGGGAATTAAATTTGTGGGAAGTCCCAAAATATTTAATTTAGTTTAGTTAAGTATCTACAATTACAATCTCAACTTAAGTTTCACTAACGCTCCATAATTATAATTCCAAACCAAATGTACGACATTATCTTCATATTTTAACGCCATTTCCCTTTATGGACCAATTTCCGTTTTAGCAACCTTTAATCTCGAATTTATTTAAACTCACATAGTTTATGGCTGCATTTAACGTCTCGTTAGACTGCCTATGTACCCTAAACAGAGATCAAGCTATTTGTAGTTCACAATTCATTATTTTACCGATTTACAACCATATTCTAGTAACCATCATATTCAACATTCACAACCCAATTTATACAAAATGGTTACCAATTATAAATTCAGAATATCGAAATTTACATAAAAAATGGCAACGTCGGCTCTCTGGCCGTGCGCCATCGCCAGTGACAGTCGTCCGTCTCAATTTACCAAAAAATTTCAGTATTTTTAAAAATTCTAAGAAAATATAGAAATGAAGATCTTAAAGAATACAACAAACTTTATACATGTGTCCAAGTTCAATTTGGTCTGGAAAAGCTCAAATTTCACCAAAATTTGTCTAAAATCCTAGAATGGGTGTGCTTCGATCCGCCTCTGATGGTCCGCTGCCCCTACAGTTGTTTGGGCTTTATTGTAGGCCCCAAGGGAAGTCTAGAAATGGTGGTAATTGGAGGGAAACCTTTCACAATTGTTAGAATTCGAGCAAGGGTTCTCACGGCACCCATGGTGTGGGTTCCCCAATTCCAAGACCATTTTCATTCCAAAATGGGGTGGAATAGGTAGAAAAGATGATGAGAGATGACCTTCAGGACGTGGGGGACCATGTCGCCTGAAATTGGTCGGGAGACCACGAATCCCGCCAGTTGTGTCTCACAGGTCAAAAGACCCGTTTCCCACCCTCCCCCTTTTATGTTTTTCCTTCTCTACTTTCCCTCCTTTCTCTCCCTTTCCATTGGTCCCAGTCTCTCCCTTATCTCTCCTTCCTTTCAACCACAGCCACCCACGTGGCACTCCCTTTTATTCCAGATTTTCTGGAATCTTCTCATTAATGTCAAAATGATTATTTTACCCTCAACTTCTATCGTTAATAACTTCTTCGTTATAATTCCACTTTACCAACGATTTTCGCTTACATGTTTGTGAGTTAAAGCCATATTCAAAAATATAAATTGTGACTTGCAAAGGTCTACCGATTTTAAATAGTTAATTTCCAAACTTTAAATCTTGTAAACCGTTTAATTTAAAATTGAACTTAAATAAATTAATATAAATTTCCTAAAAATAATATGAACTCTCAATACCACGAATACGTACATTATAATAATTCCCGGAACCAAACTTTACGATTTTCCTAATTCTATCTTTGGGACCATACATTGATTTAATTCCGATTTTTTTCACATATTCACAATTATGAATATAAAATTCATATATTTAAATTTTCAGGGTATTACAATTTGAACCTTGATAGAAACTTCAAACATGTTTCAAGGAAAAACATTTCTAGAAAAAGCGCTTGAAAGTATAAGTGCTTCTTATAGAAGAGCTTTCAAATGACTAATAAGTCCTTTGTTTCATTGCAATTGAAGATTTGGTTTCAGATTTCAGGTTAAGCTCTGTGAGTACATTGGGAATAAGTATGTGATTTTTTTTTTTTTACGCATTTGACATCACATTTGTTTGTCCTATAGGTAAGCATGTTTTCATAATCAGCATTTATGCGTTGTACATGTTTTGTGTAAATGGTTTTTGCATATATACGCACAAAGCTTATAACACATTTAGTCCATTATTCTAACAGTTATGTACAATGCTAATAATCTATTTCACATTCCCATGGCAACGTGCAAGCTATCTATACATACGAATTTGATAAGCAATGTCCATTATCTAAAATTTGGGACTGATCATAAAAAAGGGTTGTTACTTTTTATAATAGGAACGTAGAGGAACAATGGAATCAACTTTCATTTTCCAACGACTGACTACAACTTTGCTGTTTTGTTCTCAATTTTAATCTGCTATCTACTTGAATCCATTTTTTTAAGCCTAATTAGTTCATGCAATTATCATGTTTAAATATGCAAAATCCTTTATGTTAAAAATTTTGTGTTAAATATCAAGATAGAGAGACTTTTCTCTGAAACACTGTCTGTCCATTAATCAGACATGTTCAGTTATCTTATTGTTATTGTCCATAATTCAAACCACACATAATATAAAATTTGACATAAACTTTACATGTTTGGTTAATAATGCCTAATGTTTTCGTCAATGCAGGACCTGGTAAGCCAACAGTTTTCAACTGCATAAGTCATTTTTCCAACTTTCAGTTAGTCCTTTTATTGTTCTAATCGTTAGCAAGAGGATCCTTTTAATAAATTCAACCGTCATTTGTTCACATTAACTTCAATTTTTCCAATTTCTAATAGATAAAATGAAAACAGCTTCATACGAGAAGAAACGAGGAACAAAGTGAAGAAACAAACTCATTTGATTAAGGAAGTTAAACTCTACTCATTGTTTCTTATTTTAGATAGGGTTGTAATTGGATTTCCACATATATACAAGTAGTATGGCTTATCATGTATATTTAAAACTTGCAACATATTTTATATAGTTTTAAAACCCGTAGCATCGCGTGGGCACTCTTGCTAGTCGTCTTACGAAAACACAATCTTGACAGAATCACATGTATCACATGAAAAGGGAAAAGGTCTATGCATGCTTTTAGCTTTATCAAAACCAATAGAATCCTCACCGGATTCTTTTGTTGAAGATCCAAAAGATTTATAAATTGTGTCTGTTCATCGTACATTGTACAGTTAGTTTTTGTCAAGTACTCTTTCTAGCCGCATGATGTACGATGAACGGACATAATTGATAGATCCTAGAATCCTCACAAAAAGGATCGACGAGGATCCAGATTCTCGAAAGGGTTATAGTACTTTTCCGTGATATGGATAATGTAAGGAAGACTAAATTTGCAAATTAAATTATGTGTCACCAATAGAAATGAGTACGTTTATCAACGCTTAAGCAATAAACTAATTATCAACTTCCATATCTTTTAGTTTTCAAAATTTATTTTACAAATTGAGTCTCCCTAGCATTTTTCCCGTGATATTATCTCATACGGTAAAGCTTGGAAAACTAAGTTTGTAAACAAAATTTTGTAAACTAAATGATAATGAAAATTGATGATTAGATTGTTATTAAGTGTTAATAAACGTGTTCATTCCTATTTATGGCACATCATTTAGTTTGCAAATTTTATTTACAAATTTTATCTTCCTAGCATTACCCTATTTCATATCCAAAGGTCTGAAAACTAAGTGTTTTTCCTCGATCAATCTGGGTACTTTTTGCATCTTCCTAAGCTGATCCTGAGATTGTATTAAATGTGGATCGCATTGGCGTTGCGGATAACAAAGGCAACCCCATCAATGGTGACAAGCTGATTGCTTTGATTTCTGCTATTGTACTGAGGGAACACCCCGGAACCACCATAGTGACCGATGCGCGCACAAGTATGGTGCTTACATGATTCATCACGAATCGAGGGGGTCACCATTGCTTATAACGTCTTGGTTATCGAAAAGTGATTGATAAGGGAGGGCAGCTTAATAAGGCATGCATTGAAACTCATCTCATGATGGAAACATCTGGACATGGTGCTCTTTAAGAGAACCGTTTCCTTGATGATGGTAATTAGCATTGTGGTTTTTGCTTTTTCTGTTTCTGCTTCCTTAATTTTGTTCTAATTTAAATTCCACTAAAGCTTATTTATCGTGTTTGGGATGAATAATTGTTCATAGGGGCTTACGTGGTGGTAAAGATGAACATCGAAATGGTACGCATGAAGCTTGCAGGATGGGACAAAGGGGTTGGAAGCATCATAAATTTCATGGAACTTGGCAGCAGAAGCCTTGATTTCAACATTGGTCTCCTCCTTACCAAAATCGCTAGACATTTTCACCAAAAAAGGGTATTTTCCAAATATTATAGGAGGAAGTGGAGAGTTATTTAGCCTATATATAGAGTACTTCTTATTTGAATAAAACTGATTGGAACCTTGCACTTATATAGACGGAGAAGGGGACTGCATTATAACAACAAATAAAACACAAGTGGACCTAGACTGTCTACCCTCCTCATCTCATACCCTTCTCATCCCCATCTGTAATATGTGGTCATGGTTAAGCCACGTCAACATTTTATATTGATTTTTTTTTTATAGAAATAATAAGACAAAAAGTAATAAAAATATAAAATGTTGACGTGGCTTAACCATGACCACAGAAATATGAGGAGATGGAAAGGGTATGAGATGGGGAGGGTAGACAATCCAAATCCTTTCTTACTTGCTACAGACATGTCCAATGAATCCTTTTATTACCTGCTATATTTTAAATTAATAACATAATTACTTGGAGGCAATTATTTCAGCTCACTTATTAAACATGTGTTTTATTTGTTGCTATAATGCAGTCACTTTCTCCGTCTATATAAGTGCAAGGTTTCAGTCAGTTTTATTCAAATAAGAAGTACTCTATATATAGGCTAAATAACTCTACACTTCCTCCTATAATATTTGGAAAATACCCTTTTTTGGTGAAAATGTCTAGCGATTGTGGTAAGCTGGAGACCGCTGTTGAAATCAAGGCTTCTGCTGCCAAGTTCCATGAAATGTTCACTACCACACCACATCTCCAATGCCAGCAATAGAATCATTCAGGGCTGTGACCTACATGAAGGTGATTGGGGAACCGTTGGATCTGTGGTCTACTGGAATTAGTTCCATGGTAAAACCCTAACTACCTTGCTTCAATTAATAACGACTATAATACTCTTCAAAGACGGAGTTAGGATTTTTTTCTTGAGTTGGCTAACTCAAATTAATGTTACAAAATCATACGTTTATTTTTTTTTGCTTATATAAAATTATATAGTAATCAATATAAAAGAACAACAATAGAATATAAATTATTCTCAAAATCATAACCTAGCCGATTAATTCAAGGACCATATAAATAATTAACCAATTAATTAAATCAAGAATAAGTAAATAAAGAGATTAAGAATGTACCAAAGGTGACTCCATTGGAAAATCGCAACGGAAAGTAAGGAATTGTGGAGATAGGGATTGACTTGTGGATTTAAAACAATGATTTGTTTTTTTCGAGTAAGAAGTACAGAGGCTAAATCGCATAAGGTAAATGGTTTTTTTCTTTTACAAATAGGATAAAGGGGGACGGGAGATGAAACTAATTTATAATTTTTAGCATAAAACTTATTATTTATTACCTATCTTTTACTAAATATACATTAAATAATAACTTGTATTGAAATTGAATGGGCTATAAGCATGAGATTACAAAAGAATAGTGTTATTCACACCTATTTTTACTTCCAACACACCTTTATTAATTTTTTGCCATTGATCATCTTCAATTCATTTTATTTGACAGTTGAAAATTGAGAAAAGTGTGTGAGAAGTAAAAATAAGTGCATGAATGACATTACCCTTACAGAAAACCTCCTTGGGCTATATCCCACCTTAGCCTTGTGGGTGGCTCCATCATTGGTACTCTTTTATATATATGTACCATCCTAAAATACACAAGCGACATTTTATACTAAATTTATCTAATTGATGAGTAGATTTGAACTTACATTGTTCTAATCAACTTAACTAATCTCAAACTTGTGATATCATATTAATTATGTGAGATTTTCATGTATGCAGATGGAAAAGCCAAAGTTGCTAAGGACTTGGTTGAAGCCATAGACGCTGAAAATAATATGATCACTTTCAAAGTGATTGAAGGAGATCTTTTGGAGCATTACAAGAGCCTAAGTTCACCATCCACGCAACTCCGAATGGCGAGGGATGCAACGTGCGCTGGACTATGGAGTATGAGAAGCACCATGACGATATTGATGCTCACCTTACAAGCACCGACGCATAACAAGCACAGAAGGCTTACGGCTTCATTATATATGGTCTGTGATTAATCTGTGTGCTGCAATCACGATCTATCTGCATGTGTGTGATCAATAAAAATATTTGATATGACGACTGTGTCGTTCGTAGAGCCATATAAGTAGGAGGATAGTAGTTTAAGAGTAGGTTAAAGGTAGTGGGACTGTGGGAGAATAGTAGTTCACGAGTAGGTAGGTCATTTTGTAGTTTGGGATGGGATGGGGCACACCCTAGCCACCCCTCGGTTTGGTATGCAAAATATATTGAAAATGGTTATGATATCCACACACATTTTTTTACTTTTCACGAACTTTTTTAATTTTTAGCCGTCTGATCGGATGAATTGAAAATGATCAACGGATAAAAATTAACAAAGGATGTGTGAAAAGTAAAATAGGGTGTGTGGATAGCATTCCTATTGAAAAATAAAGTTACATTAAAAATGAAGGAATAAATTAGGGTTAATCTTAATTTACTACCTTAAAGTTTTGTAGTTTTTAACATTTGGTGTATGAATTTTTTTCATCCCAAAGTCATACCTTAAATGTTAATTTTCAAACATTATTATACATCTGTTAAGTTGTTTATTCAGTCAACCGTTAACGAATAACGTGGTATCTATTAGAAAATTAATTTAAAATTTAAAAAACTAAACCTAAACCTAAATCTTAACCATCCCCCATCGCTCAGACCCTTCTTCCTCCTCTGTCTTGGCCAACTCGGTCTCCATCCTCCATCCTTCTCCCCGCACTCGTCCTTCCCTCACCTCCACCTCCCAACCCGACCCATGCCTCCTCTAATCCCTCCATACCTGACCTGGATTCCCGATTTGGACTCTCCACCACCATGAAAACATAGAATTTGAAGGTGCGGCGTGACTGGGTTTTGTCTCGGCGGCGTGACAAGGGCGGCCTGATCTTCGGCCTAATCCTCCGCCTCATGTTTTCTCCTCCGTAATCTCCAACCTTGCTCGCAAATCTGCCAACTCACTTTCACTCGAGCTCCGACGAATCGGTCAACGGCAACAGTAATCCCTCCTGCATCTTCTCCGCCGCCTGGTTGGTTGGGACGCTGATGACGACCCGAATCTTGGTTTTGGACAGGGCTTTGAGGATGTACGGGTCGGCATCGTAGAGGCGGATGTGGTCGATCTGCTGGAGCTGCAGAAACGAAACGAGCTCTGACAGAGACAGAAGATTCGAAACGTCGGTACCGATGTTCACCCCGACGAACGGCTCATTTTCTTGGTCCTGGTTTTGCAGCTTGGTGCTTTCGAATGTCGGCGGAGAAGATGCAGCTGAAAGTGCCCAGCAGTAAAGTGTTAGAAATGGTCGAGAAAGTTGCTTGCTATAATTGATTTTTTTAAGTATTGCTGGGTTTAAACTTTGAAGTGAAGAAAACCCAGTGACCAAATGGTAAAAATGGTGTAAAAAGTTGCTTGCTTCCTTGATTTTTAGAAACTGTTGGGTTTAAACTTTGTAATGAAGAAAACCCAGCAACCAAATGTTAGAATTAGTGAAAAAGTTGAATGCTTTCTAGATTATTTCGAAATAATGGAGAAAACCCAAAAAGAAAATACCACAAGTGGGGAAAATGTTGCTTGATTTCTTTGAGTTTTGAAGTACTATTGGATTTAAACTTTGAATGTTAAGTTAGTAGAGAAACTTGCTTACCTTTGTATGCAGAGAGGAAGAAGAAGAGGAGGGTTGAGAGGGAGAGGAGCTTAATGACAGCCATTGGAGAGGAGCTTGAGCAATGCTGCTTCCTCATCGTTTGTTTCTGGTTCAGCAGCTGCAGATCCTTGCCGACGATGACGGATCTGCGGTCACATTTGAGGGCGAGCTTGGTGACGGCGTCGAAGCGGGAGAAGAGGGAAGGGATGATGGGTTTTGGCCGTGCGGTGGGTTTTGGTCGGCGATCGAAATGGAGCCTGGCCCGGATCTGTACGGGTCAAAATGGAGGTGGGTTTAGCCTTAGTTTTTAATTTTTTTTAATTAATTTTCTAATTTTTTTAATTTCCTTGTGGATCTTTAATGACACGTGGCGCGTAGTCATTATCCACATGAGTGTCACATCATTAGTTAACGGTTAACGTAACAGTCAACTTAACGTATGTATAAGACTGTTTGAAAATTAAGATTTACGACATGATTCTGGGATAAAAAAACTTTATGTATCCAATACTGAAAAAAACTTTAGGATAATAAACTCAGAAGCAAAAATAAAAATTCAGTAGACACATAGTATTATTATGTGGCATATATTAAAAAATAGAGTAAGGTTGTTTTTTATGGCCAGTCAGATTCATGGTGATATTGTGGTTTGGAATTTCAATTTTGGCAAGTACAAGTGTTTTTGCTAGAAATACTTGTATCATAAACATGTTAAACTTTTAATTAGAAACCATGAAATTAACTTCCTGATTACAAAGTATTAAAGGGGTGTTTTGATCTAAATGCTTGGTTTTTTAATTTTTTAGACCAAACATCTAGAGATTGGATCAAACTACCTTTTTTTTTAATTTTAATTAATTTACTAATTAATTATAATTACACAAATTGTTATTATAATTAATTTACTATTTTTTTTAACAAATGATATTATCTACACTAAGGGAGAAGGGGTAAGCTTAGCCTCATAATAGGCTAGCAATAATGTGGTTCAAATTCGCATTTGGCGAGAACCGAATCTAAGACCCCTCACTTATAAAAGAAGATATTGTTAATTTATGTCTCATTAATTCAAATGATTTCAAAAGAGAAAAAAACAATATTGCTAGCTACTTAGTATTACAATCTAGTGATATTTTTCTTCACTTGTAAGTAAGAGATCTTAGGTTCATTCTGACCAAAGACGAATTTAAACCACATTATTACTAGATTATCCTCCTCCCCCACTCCCTTAGAGTAAATGATATTGTTTGTCCAACAAACAAAAAAACAGAAAAGACAATCAAATTTCGATAGTAACAAAAAAAACAAAGTTGAATTGTGGGTGCAAAAAAAAGAATGTTTTTTTAACAAAAGAAAATCAAACGGGTGATATTTTAAATGTACCAATGTACTCCAAATGATAATACATTACATACATGATATATATGTAGGCCCATATATTAAAAAATAGGATATCAATACATTATTGGTATGTTATGTAATCTAAATTTGTGGACAAATTAGTATTTTGATATGTTATTTATATTTTGTTTAGATACCTACTAAGCTACTGGTACTTTTATATTATCAGAATTGGTATGTAAAAAGCTAATAGCAAGTTATATATAACCTAAATAAATAAATAAAACCCTTCCTAATTTACAAGAAAATGGACCAGCCCAACAATTTTGAGCCTAGCTGGTCTAACAATATTTTTTCGAGTCAATGGCCGAACAATTTAAACCATCCAAATATGGTGTCAAATTTTAATAGGAATGTCACGCAATCAAATTTGAAGGTAGATAAAAACTTCAACTGATATATCAATCTTACATGAATTGGCATATGAATTTTCTTCTGCCAAATTAACATATGAAAAAAATGTGTTGTCAATTTATTTTTTAATTGTTTTATTGTGTAGGTTCCATTAATCCATCAATTATAGATTTTAAAATTTTATTTTAAGTGATTCTTTTTAAAAATAGGTCCTACAAATATCATTTATAATACAAAACATATGGGTTGGTGAAAGAAAAAAAAATCTAACGTTACCACGTCAGCCATCAAATTAACATTTAATATTTATTTTTTCATCAAAGATACATTTAGAAACCCATTTTCCAGATGCAAACCTGGATCGCAATATCTACAATGGGATTAAGACGGGGTCTGGGCTACCAGACAATGGAACGGAGGACTCTCACCTCGAGTTATCCAAACTATATTTACTGAATTAAAAATTAGAATTGTAGTCATTTTTCTGTATAAAAAAAAATTAAAAGTTAATATTCAAATGTTGCCCCTCAATAATTTTCTCATTAGTACGTTACAATTTGTAATTTCATATGAATATATTCTTAGGTGCCAAATGGATCCGTTTTCTATACTGTTTCAGTCTCTTTCTTTGGTATATAATTATGAAAAATATACTTTCGAAACAAATAAAGAAGAGGAATGAAGTGAGAAACTTCACCGCTGACAAATTCCAACTAGCCGGCGTACCAGCAAAGACAAAAAGACATGAAAACTACCTTTCCAAATACAACATAAAAATAATATTATTAATCTCTTAGAGCATGTTAATATTGAGATTGTACCAATTAGTCTTTGTGGCGAATATCTTGCAAACAATAGTATGTATGTTTTATAATAGCTTATACATCGATGTACAAATAAAATATTGTTATTGATCTTTTCTTTCTTACTCTGTATTTTTTTATAACAGTCGAAATGCTCTATTTATAGAGTAACTCTATACGAACATATTATTATATTTTGAAATTTACAGTACATAATTTTGAAAATACGATCACCTTTATTTCCAAAGTCTACATCCCTTTGTGTGGGTATTGAAAAAACTTATGTGGGCATTCATTAAACTGGCAACAGTTTCAACATTGCCAATGTTTTCAACTGCTAATGTTTTCAACAAATATGACTCCTAGAGATGAATAGAGGAGAGAATAGTGACGACGACGTTGATGATCTTGCTTGCGGTGCGGGCAAGTTGACAAGAACGTGTAATTTAGCAGCTTCCTTTAAGTGCCAACCTTGCTAGCTAGCTAGGCTGCTTCACTTCCCAGTTTTTTCTTCTGTCTCTTTCAAAATCTCCAGACACTCGAAGCATAGCGCAGAGAATAGTCAAACTATTTGCAGCGTTCTGTCGTTATTGGCATCGGAGATTGGAACCATTGGGCTTGGTTGCTTGTGGATACGACGACGCCTGCCAGCAGTTTAACAAGGCTTTTATTGTAAGCACGACGATGACAAAGGAAGAGACGAGGATGCCCTCGCCCTTGCTCTTGCCCTTGACATCAATTGAAGAAGAATTAGAACCTGCTTTTGATGCTGATGATGATGATGATGATGAAAGTCTGTTTTCCATTGATTTTAATTTTAACTTCAAGGATAGTTTTAAGGAAGAGGAAGAGGCCGTTCCTTGTTATTATCACGTAGCTGTTGGGGGCAGAAGAGCGAGTCTAGCATGGATGCGCTTCTCTGGACACTGAGTCACACGGCGGTGACTCATGATCGTGATCAATCTTCAGTAATACTAGTCCTCGTCCATGTCTTTGCACCGATCCGATACGTTCCTTCACCTTGTAAGTTCAGCTAATCTAATTCAAATTCTCATCATTATTTGTGTTTGTGTTTGCGTGTGTCTTTGTAAACGCGCCCGCCGGTGAGTTGGAACAAGGTCAAATTTGGAAGGCTTGTTTGTAAGCCGTTTTGTTCATTAACCCTTTGGTTTTCTTTTATTAGAAACACGTCGAAATTGTTAGTAAATGTTTAATTGCTCAACTTTTATCTTGAAACAGTTAAAGGTTTTTATGTCAAACAAAATCAAAACTGTATTTGGTTGTCAAAAAACGATTAGAACATTTCTTGAAACAGTCCCAAATTGTACGAGTCTAATACATTGAACCTGGATGATGTATAGTCTATGTCATGACTCATACTTTTCATCTATATTATCGAATACGCATAATATATATCTTTTTTCTTTTTATAATTTAGTACAATATAATTTTCAAAGTCGAAGGTACAGGGTTGACATACCTTATAAAGCATACATATAAATTGTACGAGTTGTTGATTTGAGTTGAATCCATCAAAGCCTTACACTAACCACAGGAGTTCAACACAAATTTCAGATTAACCTGATTTTCTAGCTGTAAAGATGATTTGGGATTTTTGAACTTTAATCCTTGAAGAAGATTAAAATTTAATAAAATCTTGTGTTAGATTGAATATTGATTTTAGTCATCTAATATGTACTTAATTCAAATTCAAATTCATATTATATTTTTAATAGATATTACATTAAAATTAAAATTTATTATTATACACATTTTAATTTATTTATTTTATTTTATTTCATCTAATTAGTTTACCTAAACGTCCGTATCATAATATATTTTACTAAATTAGTGTACCAAAATATCCGTACCTAGATATATTGTCACATCCCGGCCCGGGGCGAACCACTTCCCGGGCCCGACTCCACCACCGTAACACGATATTGTCCGCTTTGGGCTTACCATTCCCTCACGATTTTGTTTTTGGGAACTCACGAGCAACTTCCCAGTGGGTCAAAGTGACGGCCAGCATGCCCTGATCTCGATCGGGGTGTGTCATATATTGTAGTGAATTAGTGGCACATAAGAAAATATGCAAAAATATAAGTGTACTGAAAAATTTTGTACCTAAATATATGATACTAAACTAGTGTACCAAAATGTTGGTACCTAAATATATTATAATAAACTAGTATACCGAAATATCCGCACCTAAACATATTATACTAACCTAGTGTACCAAAATGTTCGTACCTAAATATATTGTAATGAATTAGTGGCACATAAGAAAATATGCCAAAACATAAGTGTACCAAAAAATCTCTACGAAAATATTTTCTTACAAAAGATACTTACCATAATGAGAATTAAAATTTATAATATTTTCATACAATTTAATTTATGAACACCATAAAATTATAAAGAAAAAAGAGAGACATTTAATACATATGTTGAAATTAAATAGAGTCTAGAGACTAAAATCAAATTTTAATCTTGTATAAGACATTTTTTTTTTTTAACTTCAGCTTAATTAAGGATTAAAATCTAGTTTTTTTTTTTTTTTTTTTTTTTTTTTGGTTTGACAAAAGCTGTAAAGACGATTGACATTAGGGTTATGACTGCATTCAATCAACTAACTGATTTTTTTAACGTATATATTAATTCATCATTAGTGAAAGATGTTTCTGTACGTTTGTCTTGGTTCTTCTGATATGCAGTAGGAATGCTTCCAAAAAATAGTGTGAATACAATTATGATGGAGAATTGGATGGCCCTAGAAAGAGACAGAAGGAGGAAACTCCTTCACAAATACGTTGATGCCTGCTCATCTGCCAAGGTATTACCAGATTTCCGAAGTACAGACACTCTATGGCTATTTAATTACAAGTATATTAGTACTAATTAACCTCTGTATGACGATTAATATGATGTTAACGGAACAGGTTAAGACGGAGATTATGCTTATTGAGAGTGATACAGTTGCCAAGGCAATCCTAGAACTTATTCCTACTCAAAACATAAGAAACCTAGTAGTTGGAACCACCAAATCAAGTCTGAGGAAATTGAGGTTCAAGAAAGGGAGTGGAATAGCAAGTCAGATCCTACAAAATGCGCCTGAAACAAGCTGCAATATTAAGATCATATGCAAGGGAAAGGAAGTGATTGATGACACTATGTTTACTGGCTCGACTTCCTCACGTAGTAGTAACGCGAACTCCTTGTCCACGCAAGATGAAGACGATCATCAAGAACAACGAATCTCAACAGATTATAATAAACATGAGTACTCGCGTCCTGAAGCGAAATCTCCATCATCTTTAAATGGATACAAGCAAATGTGGTGGGGGAAACCAAAATCTTCACAAATAACAGCTTGATTTTGTTGTGTGATGATTTTGGCATGATGAGATTGGCATGTATATTGTCTGTGAATGGCAGGCATTGTAAGTTGCACATTTATACATTACACATAAGTTTTGTAACCTAATTCATCTACTTTTACACCTAGCTAGCTACTTCATCATAGATTATAGCAGCTCAGCCTACAATTCCACTCTTAGAGTACTTCACAATTACAAATTTAGTAGCGAACCGCAACGAGTATAGAAAGCTAAGGTTTGTGTGGGATGTTTTGGTTTCTGGGTTTGAGGAGAAGGATGTTTTTTGAGCAATGGTTTGCAAAGAAATTGTTGAAGAAGTTGAAGTGGAAGCCATATTAGTTCAATTAAAGAAATTTCAGATTAGTGTTCAATTTGGCCACCTTGGTTCTTTTGTTCAAATGCTTGTTTTGAAGAGGGGGATTTTTGGACCAAGCAAACACGATTGGAAGATAAGGTATCTCAATAATCTGTTACCCTAAATTTCGATATCTATGCATAACTTGGAAGAAAAAATCATATCTTTGACCAAAATTCCAAATGCCCAGATTTTTTTTTTATTTTTTATTTTATTTAAGGCAATGCCCCTTCTTACAAGATGTGCTATTGATGATTCTCTCCAAGTCCATAAGAAGCAAAGGTATAAACGTAGGGTTTGGGGGAAAACTGGTGAACCGGAACAGACCGGTCTAAATCAATTGCTTGTTGACGAAAAATAGTTAAAACATCCAAAAGCCGAACCAGCCTAGCTACATGGCTCAATTCACAATTCTTAACTAGTTAAATGTGAACCACACCGAATTAAAACAAATTGAACCAAACAAACCGTTGAATCTCTCATCATAAAACTTTTCATGTTGTAGCAGTTTGGCCTCATCATAAGCTTCTTAAAATTCATGCTAGACGTTTCAGAAACGTTTGAGCCATTGGAAAATTGTGATAATTGAGGCTAGAATTTGGTCCCTGCCAATAGATTTTCTTTGGTTTTTTTAGTTGGCAGCTTAAAAATTCAATGGAAAGTGCTCATATGGCTTAATAAAAGATTTGACCAGTTCCAAAATCCTTGTAACATTTTCCTTATTTGTCCACACAAAAAGATCTTGCAGAAACTCCAAAAGCGAACATTTCAAACAAACAAAAAAATTATTTTAGTTACATGATTCATATAATTTCACATTGAAGAGAATACATTAAACAAAGGGAAAACACAAGTTACACAAGAAAGCAAATAGATTATGTTGTACCTAGACTCCTGCTAAACCTTTGGAACCAGGAAGGTTGATCCACTCAATCTGCAGCACGATTTCGCCACACTCGACGTTTCGCAGTTTGAGAATCATGTCCTGAACAATCTTGCCATTTTCCCAAACGCAACAGCTCTCGGTGGAGAGGCAATTGGTCCTGTTGGGCTGAACTTTCTTGAGGGCGCAGCCCTTCGGGAGGGCGTCCGCGTCTAACCCCATCTTCAGACACTCGACGTAGGGTTTGATGTCTATGTCTGCATCCCCCATCTTGTCGTCCACGGTTAACGTGTCTTTGTCGTACACTTGTAGATGGATGGGTTCTTCCAAGTTGGTGATCGAAAGCGTCAGCTCCTCGTTCCACTCAGGGTTGCAGTTCCTTTTTATCACTTTTGTCTTCAGTTTCTGCGATCCCATGGTGACCGTCAGGTACGGATCACTCGTCTTGACGTCGCGGATGGCGAGGTTGACTCCTCGCTTGATCCGAAGCCTGAGAAGTCCGAGGATGTTGTTCATCGTAATTTATCGAAACAATAACGATAATAAATTTCTGGTTTTTCTAGTTCTGGATTAGAAGATATGTAGGAGGATGCATGGAATGGAAAAAATGTGGGCTGAGGAACTCAGGTATATAAAATGATAAGACGGTCACTTTTTGAAGGGCAAGGAAGTGGTGCAAATGTCAATAAGGCAACCATTCACAGAGAGACCACACAGCAACCGATCGCCACTCAATAGACTTTAGGGATGGAAGTGGTCCGCCGCCCTTGTCGCTTTGCCACCCCTAATTTATGTAAGGCGCTATTGGGTTTTGGATAGTACCGTGCTATGGTTTTGTGTACATTTGGGTTTGGATTGGCCCATCCACCTTTTCAATTGGATCACGGGCCTGGGTCGGCTCGGTTGGCGGGCAACAATGTAAGCTTAAAGGGATCACACCACCCTTCTCTAAGTTGCAGCTTTTTTATTAAGCAATAGAGTGGTTCGTTGTACACTCAAGTTTTGTTACAGTCACATATAAAATAAAGAAATATGTCATCAACAGAAAATTTTAAACTAAAAGGAAAGCCTTCATAATTACTACAAGGAGAATGGGTAATCGAAGAAAGTTGGGGTTTAGCCTGAAGAATAAAACCTTCATAATTATTATGAGTAGCTCATTATGGGGTTTAGTCTGAAGAAAGTAGGGGTTTCATAATAAAACTAATTGACAATATAGGGAGTACTCAATTATTTATAAACACATGCAATATCTCTCATTTCCCCATGTGAGATTCATACTTGCCACACATCTCACCCCTCCTTTAGTGTAGATATGTCTTTTAGAAAGCACTTCAAATGTCTATAAATATTTTTGTTAAAACTTTCGACATGCTTCCAAACGAAGAAACACTTAAAGAAAAAGCGTTAATAAGCAAAAAGTGCTATCTAAAAAAGGCATTTCTAATTGAGAATCTAATTTGCATGAAGAGGGTCCAAACTAGATTTCAAATGAATATATCCTTACTCTGATCAACTAACTTAATCTAGATAATGAAGATTCGAACTAGAGCGGAAAAAGGTTGGCTTCATTATACTCTGTGACGAGAGTCACGTGGAAATTGTTCAAGACGTGTGGAAAAAGTCGAGATGTTAATCCATGCATGCATTCTCTTCCTCAGAGGGACCACGTATACGGTATACTATTTACTAATTTACTATGTTGTATGCACATCTACGGTGCCTTCAAATTATCTTGTGGTGTGATGTCATTGTTTTAGCATCGTTGAGGAACATCTGATCAAATCCTTCATACCTCGTATCTATCCTACCTCAGTTACGTTTCAGATACGCATATATATATATATATATATTCTCAACTCAATGCAATTTTGTGGCATGATCTATGCTTTTACTTCCTTAATCCATGCATTCAAATGCACGCACTACCAATATGCATGGAATATGCTTTACTTGCTTTTGTGCTTACTCTACTTCAAAGGAATTCAGATCCTTTCTGGATCTCGTCGTCTAGGTCGAGAAATTTGAACCATTGAAGAGAAAGAGATTCAAATTCTTAATTTGTATGAGGTGGGCTAATGAGATAAGACTAATGAGGGCCTTATAATTTACAATGAATGGTCCAAATCTTCGAATCGATCAACTCCAACGACATCAATCAGGAGAAAGATCTCGATTCTTTCAAAAGGGACCCAAAAACTCTGAATTTTCATGGATCCTTTTTAGCTTTATGTCCTTTGGTCTGCCATGCACCATAGATCCCATATGCTATTAGTTGGAAAAAAGTGTGAGAAGAAAATTTTAAGCATCTACTTTTTGGCTGAGATGACTGGATTATGCTCTTGAAGTTTATATAATCCGAGTCCAATTTATTTATTTTGTTTATTGTCACGAGAGGAACATTAAAAAAAAAATACACCATTTACCAAAACATAGACACTGATAAAAAAGTTTATATAGTCATCAGACAATTATAAAGTACATAATCTCTCATCTCGGGTAATTGAATGTGTTTTTAATTTTTCGATCTCTACCTTTAATATTAGACTCAACAGTGGATTACTCTAAATTATTGATCACCAAGTGACCAGAAACGAAGATTTTGTACCCCTAAATTTCACTCTAAAACAAATGCCACTTGATCATGTTAAGTCTTTATTTAGTTGGGGTCTAAACAGATTATGCTTCTTTTTTTATTAACAATGTGGCTTAAGCCCGAAAGAAAAGAAAATATTACACAAAAATATCATCCGGCCACAAAACTCAACTATATTTACAACTAGCAATCGACGATTAGGAAAAACTTCTAAAAAAATACTGAACTCAAATTGCATAACAAACCAAAACAAGTTAAATCATCAACAACAATAAAAAAAATAATCCCAAAAACAACTTTAATGTAAAACAGCAGCGACAGAATCCGATTCACAATAACTAAATTTACTGTATAGAATCTTACCTCGACCAATATTAGCACAAAAGCGAGAGACCCATGGCCCGACAAGATTATGCTTTTTATGTCAGAGGTTACAGCCCGTCCCACCAAATGTCCCAAACAAATTAGTATTAAACACAACAAATCAGCATCTCTCTTTCTCGCTTACCAATCAAGGCACGCTTGGCGGGTTTTCCGTATATTGAATAAGAGAATATCCTTTTTATACCAGAAAACGGGAAAGCGGCAAGAAAGCATGCAATTTTCCTATACAAATACCAGATCCAAGAATTTCACTCTAATTACAACACCCAAACGCAATTTTTATTTTAAGGGATTAAACTGATTCTCCTAACCAAGTGGAGTGAAAAGCAGTGTTGGTTCAACGTAGTATAAATATCGCCATATGAATTTATGAAAATATCCTGATATATCAATATCAATTCGTCGTAAAGTGGATTATCGATTCCTTAATTTTAGTCAAAATTAAAGAAACATTATTCAAAAAAATTCAAAATTTGAAATGGGTTGTGACCAATTTTTTAAAATGAATTGATAAATGTTGTTGATATTTAATAATATTTTTATATCTCACCCATATGAGATAACATATAGGATAAATATCAATTTACTATTCTCAAGTTTCGTGGTTTTCAACATTTGGTACATGAAGTTTTTTTTCATCTCAGAGTCATACCTAAAGTGTTAATTTTGGGACAATCTCATACATCCGTTAGTTTTGGACTCCTTAACAGCTAGACTAGCGGATGTAAGAGATTGTCCCAAAATTAACACTTTAGGTATGAATCTGGAATGAAAAAAACTTTGTGTACCAAATGTTGAAAATCACAAAATTTGAAGGTAGTAAACTAATTTTTACCTTAAAATTTGGGAAGTGTTATTAGCACTTCAAAAATCTCATTCTACACTCCTCACAAATGTATTTTTCTTTTTCAATATAAAAAGTTTAAAGTGTAAAATAAAATTTTTGAAATACTAATAACAACTCTCTAAAATTTATATTTCACCTCCTTTTACTATCGATCTCGAAGGGAATATACTTTTACTAATTAACAGCAGGGAAAAACTGACAGGTACGAAGACGCGCCAACCAGAAGTGAAGGAGGAAGCGGTAAATCAGGGGAAGTCGGTGGCAGTGAAATTTACCCCAACCGGCCCAAACATTTCCAGAACGAAATAAGCAATATAAAAGCAGGGGCTCCTCTCCCTATAATTTCATCGCAAAAATCTCGAAAGAGAGGATTTGATTCGAGAGAGAGAGCCGCCTCCGTTCCCAAGGAAACCCTAACCCTAAATTCCCAATTTTCTTCCCTTTCGATCGGATTTCCTGTTTCCGTTCCGATTGATCCTCTCCAGAAACTCACGGTATTCCTCCCTTTCACAAAATTTCATCACGATTCGAAGCAAGCAAGTTGTTGATGGTGGAAATCTTAAGCGGCAGTAATTTCATGCGCTCCCTGAAACAATCAAGGGCGAGCGCTATCCTCCCGATCTCCGCCGCGTCCGCATTCGCTTTCGGCTCCTGCAAGGAAGGCTGGTACTACCGCTGCCTCGGCGTCGACCCGTAAATCTACGTCAGAGCTCTCTCTCCCTCTATCTTCCTCTTTCTCATGGTCCGTTTTTTATCATCGCACCCGGATTTTCACTAATCGTCGCCGCCGTCCGTCGATTTTTTGATTATTTTGTTGAATTGAATCAGTAACTGGTTGGGAAAGAGGGAACTCTGAAAAGAAAAAAAAACAAATTTAGATTTTCTGTTGGCTGGCTTTTTGCTGTTCGATTGATTGATTTGATTTTGATTACGAAACAACGAAGATGTTGCTGTACAAGCAGAAGAAGAACCAGAGCACCGCCAAGGGCAACAGGCTCTTGATCAGCATCACTGTGCTCGGCAGTGCCGGCCCGATCCGCTTTGTTGTCAACGAGCAGGAGCTCATCGCCGCCGTCATGGACACCGCATTAAAATCCTATGCGCGTGAGGGCCGCTTCCCGGTTCTCGGCTCCGATCTCAATGACTTCCTGCTCTATTGCCCCGCCGTAGGACCTGAAGGTAATTAACCCTAACCAATCCTTAATCACTTTTGAATTCACCAATCTAATCACTTAAAAATCCGTGTTCTTGATTCATGTCAACCGAATTTTAAGAATTGAATCTTACCCTTTATTTCTTACCAATCCAATTTCAAAACCCGTATCGCAGTATTGACATAAATTTATGAAATTGAAGAGTATAAGGCTGTTCTTAGTTGAAATTGGTTCTGTTTTTATGCGTTCTTTTTCAATGTGATTCTCTGAGATTGAATTCTGGTCGCGTTTGTAAATTTGATTGTAGCTCTGAGCCTGTGGGACACAATCGGAGCGCAAGGAGCTCGTAACTTTATGCTGTGCAAGAAGCCTCAGCCAGTGAAGATGGAGAAGGATGAGATACCAGCAGCTGCAATTACTCGCAAGGGTAGTGGGAGCTGGAAGGCATGGATCAATAAGTCCCTCAATCTCAAGGTCTCTTCCCATTAAATTAATTTCTCAGTTAACGGGGAAAAAAGGAGAGCAATTTGTGGTTTGTCTAGCTTTTGTTTGAGTTATTTGGTGTCTTTGTTCATTAGTTGCAGAGTCATCGTTTCGGGCTGAACCCTGTTTTTTTCCCATCAAGTTTTTGTTTTTGGAATAAATTACAGATTGGTTGTAATGCTTTGTTTCTTTCAATTCCTTCAGTGTGCATTAGAGGAACTTGCACTGTAACTTTGACTCGGTTCGGTTGCATTAATCAATGGTAGTTCTTTTTTTCGTGACATAATGCATTCAAGGTGGCAATTAAGTAGGTAGGCTTGATGTTGCTGTTAAGCTGTCGTTTCTTTGTTCTTCTTGCAAGTTCACAAACCTATCACCTTCATGTGATGATATTCGGTACGACTGGCTGGCTAGAACGGCTTTGACACCTAGGAGAGATTTTTCAGTATCATCGTCACACAAGATTGTATACCACATTACGTTATATAAATTGTAGGATATGTGTGTTAAAAAAATTAATAATTTAAAAAATAAAATTTTCCACCATTTACATAAAAACACGTGATGTACTATCTGTGTTCTCATCACAACTAAAAATTTCCCGACACCTAGTGTGTGGATGGGGTTTGCCTCATTAGGTGGCACTCATCCATTGACTGGGAGGGTGTGTGGGGCCGGTTAAGATTAAAATGCAAAGGTGTAGAGAGCATATTTTTTTAAGCATTTCAAAACAATTTTGGGGGAATAAATTGTTAAGGTTATGCTACCACAGCCATCATACGATAATTGATGCATGTGAAAGCTGCTGAATTATGGGCATGTGGGGAGGATTTAGTGACTGCAGAGTATCAACTCGATTGAAAGTTGAAACAGCTTTACCGCCGAGTTTGAAGTTAAGCCGGTTTCTCATTCTCCACTCCAGGCATATGCGAATTATGCTATTTCTCATTCTTTTTCTTGAAAACTATATTATTATTCAGTATACGGCATATATCGGATCAATGAATGAAAAGTCTTTTTTATTTTCCAAGAATAGAAACAATGAATGAAAAGTTAAACGTAGGGCAAAAAATTCAACAGGTTAGGCCCAAAGAGGTGTATAGCAGACGATAGACTACATAAAAGTGTGATAAGAATAGAAGCAATGAACGAAAAGTTAAATGTATGGCAGAAGTTGAACGTAGGGCAAAAAATTCAACGGGTCAGCCCAAGGAGGTGTATAACAAACAACAGACTACACAGCAGTGTGACAAGAATATAAACAATGACTGAAAAGTTAAATGTACGACAGAAGTTGAATGTAGGACAACAAAATCAACGGGTCAGGCCCAAGGAGGTGTATAGCAGACAATAGACTACACAACAATGTGGCAAGAATATAAACAATGCATGAAAAGTTAAATGTACGACAGAAGTTGAATGTAGGACAACAAAATCAACGGGTCAGGGCCAAGGAGGTGTATAGCAAACAACAAATTACACAGTAGTGTGACAAGAAAAGAAACAATGAATGAAAAGTTAAATGTACAACATAAGTTGAATGTAGGACAAAAAAATCAACAGATTAGGCCCAAGAAGGTGTATAGCAAACAACAAACTACACAACAGTGTGACACTTCTTACCAACCAAACATTGTCGTTAAACTCTCAGCGAAGGTAAAAAGGCCTCGTGCTTTTTTGTTGAAGGCGACTACGGCTTCCGCGCAATTCTCTAAACAGTTGAAGAAAACAGACGAAAAAGGGCGGCGCGAATCTTCCACTGAATTCGATACAGAGCTAGGACAAATTGGTTGGGAAGTTCCATGAGCAATTTTACTCATCTTGTTCAGGTTGATCATCCGAACTTGATCGAACAACTTTCCAGTGGGACTTTTACATGTTTACATAGAGATGTACCCGACTAGACTAAAACGTTAATAAACACATTCCACCAAGTACCTTCTCAATTTTCTGTTCTCACACCACATAATCAGTTACAACAAGAACCAAATTTTATCTCAGTAAGTAAGGTCTTCGGTTTGAATCCTAAAATGTCATTGCTCTTGTTTTTGCGCCAAATCTTCTATTAGTTTCAAGTATTCTATATTTTCTTATAATCTCTTATAAAGTCTTCCTAAGCCTTCTTTTACACCACGTGATCGGTTACATAATATAATTTCCCCACCATACCATTGATACTAGAAGCATCATTTATATTTGTCATGATGTATTTCAATAGAGTATGATTTTTTCCCTTTCTAGTCCCTTCCTCTTCCCTCTCCTTCTCTAACATTTTACTTTTTGTTTTTTGTCTCTATATCAATATAAGATGCTGATGAATGATTTAATCGTAACTATTTAAATAACAGGAACCGAAAAAATGAGAAAGAAATTAAGAGAAAAGAGAATCATTGACAACTTATATGACCACAAAATAAAGGAGCTCTCACATTTTTCCGATCTGATAGCAACAATCATCTCTCATAGTCCCTATCCTAAATTTGTGGAACATTTGTCAAACTGAGCACCACTGGCAGGCACATGTGCGTGTTGTGTCCATGACGGTACATGTTTATCGTACAATTTCCTTATCCTATCAATTTTAAAAGCCACGAACCTCTGTTCCTTTATCGGGCATCTGGGTCCAGAATTTTCTGTCTGCTTTCACTCTTCCAGACTGTTGACCCTAATAATTACAAAACCTACGTGGCGCGCAGGCCGAGTAACTAGTAAGCTAACTACGTCCTTCGGTTGAATGCGGGGCGTGCCAACTCGTCGGCCGAGCTCGGCCGAGGAGTACAATTTGTTGATGTCGCTTGGAGCGCGTCGTTGACTTCTGTATCTTGCGATTGCGACCGAGGAAGGAACGCTCTCGGTCTCTGAGTTCTACAGCCTGAAGACAAGGCTGCTAATTCTGCGGAGTTCAATAATCGTCGGAGCCCGATTCGGTCACCGTGATTATATTCGTGAGAGTATAAGCACGTCGAATCGAGACCAAGGTGTATGGGCACAAGTACTCGAACGTGATGTATGTCTTGATGGTAAACGTAGTTCGGCCGTCGGAATGCCGAACCCTGAAACCTACTTGCGAGTATCCAATCATAAAACCACTCGGCGTCCTGTACGCCGAGCAATGTGATTCGTAACACCTAACTATGCCGAGAAAGCTTAGCAAGGTGACCTCTGCCAACAAAGGTTCGAAAACCTTTCTCGACCGAGACTTGGATAGATAATCGGTCGACCTCGACGCAGTGCTGTTTATCCAAACTGAAGGTGCTTCTCGGTCGGCTGATTCTGCGGCAGCAGTGCTGTTTATCCAAACTGAAGGTGCTCGCCGGGCGCTTCCACAGTGCTGTTTATCCAAACTGAAGGTGTGTCGGCAGGAAAAGAAAAGGAAAAATCTCAAGGTGTTTGAGAGGTTTTGCGCAGGGCAATTGTATGCTGATTGTGAAGGTCCTTTTTCTGTTGCATGATTTCTTGTATTTATAGTCCCCCATTCCCTGAATCTGACTCCGATTTGGATCGGGAGTCCTTTTCCCAATTCGCCTCTTCCTCGAACAATCCTACTCCTACTGGGATTCTGAATTTTCCTTCTTTTCGGGACTTCATTCCTTGCTGGTCGAGAATCCTAATTGCATCAGGATTTCCTCGACCTTTCTATTTATCCGGATTACCTCTGATGGGATTTGGCCGACCCTGCCAGCTGGCCCGGGCCTTATTATTCGGCCCATAGTATTTATCATCTCCTTGGGCCGAGCACATCCTGCTGCTCGGCCCAGCAATAATATTTCGGGCCCAAACATTGCCCCCTCGCTTCTGAGGTCGCCGACTGTTAGCTCTTGGTCGGGCCTCGACCTTGAAGAAGCGAAAACGTTTATTGCTTTTTTGAACTTAATGACCGTTATTCCTGCGCATTTATGAAGCATGATTGCACTTTTCTTGCTGCCCCCAAAGCGTGGCCACGTGTCGATTCTCCGCCGCTCTTAAAACTTTCAATCGTGGGCCTCGAAACCGTGCGCTAACTGAAACGTCTCATCCTTATTAATGCCTTAAAACTGGCGTCGCACGCAATCGTGCGTCCTGGATTTTCGACTCCTCGATCCCTCTTCGCAGTTTCCCAAAATATCCGAAATGATTGAGCCTTTCCCGGTTAAATTTCCCCCCAATTTGAACCAGTGCCTTTTGAATCCCAGACGTTTGATATTCATCCTGAAAGGCCTATAAATACCCATATTTCTGCCATTTGCCTTTTACGCTTTCAGAAATTCTAAAATCTCAAATTCCTCATCCTTGTTCGTTCAAATCAAACCTTCCAGTTCTTCTGCAATACCTTCTTTTTCCAGAAACATCTCTTCTCCACAAATGGCCTCCTTCATTTCAAAGTTCTCTGATGAGATCAACAAGTGCAAGGATTTCGTTGACCGGAGCGCCGTCAAGACGCTACGATTTGAAGAAGACATGGCCACGACCCACCAAATTCTGGGTCCACTTTTCAGAGACACAGTGCCGTCGTCTGTCACTAACCTGCTCAAGGAACAATGCCTAACACCCCTGCTGCAGGGGTTCGACTGGTCGAAATGGACTCTGGCGCGGCCTCAGGGAGCCTGGCCGTCGACTACTGCGGCTTGGGCTGCCTGGGTCGACCGGATGAGCACATTCTTTTCCAAGGAATGGAAGGCTTTAGGTATTTATGATGCCATCATCCTGTCGACCATGGAGGTCGCCATGGATAAGGAGCTGCTTATGGCGGCCCTGAGTCTATGGTGTTCGGCCACCAACACCATGATCCTGCCTTTCGGCCCACTCGACCCCACAATCCTTGACGTCTCGGCCATCCTTGGGACTTCCCCGACCGGCCTTCCTATTGACGCCGCCCTTTCCGGATACCCTTCTCCTCTCGACTTGAAGGCACTATTCGACGAAAGGGCCGTCGAGACGCTAAGCCGGGACGACCGGGAGCCCTCAAGGGAAGAAGTTCAGAAGCTGCACAAGAATTTCTTCAACTACAACACGCTCATTCTTCACTTCGCCGGCCGAGGCGAAGAAGGTCTTAGGAAGGGAGAGCACGAGGCCTTCCTCTTCTACTGGTACAACAAATTCATCTGTTGTACCAGGTCAAATAAATGCCTGGTGGAGAATATGCCGGTGGCCCAGGCACTGGCTAATGGTCGCTTGCTGGCGCTCAGTCCAGCCATACTCGCCAACCTCTACCGCTGCCTGGCCGAGGCGACCATTGGCAAGATTGACCCGCACCAGAACGGACCCCTCTGGGTGTTCCAACTCTGGTTGCAGGTCTACTTCT